ATGGCTGCTCCAGGAGCTATTTTTTCCAGCGCGCCGCAAAGGATGCAAGTTTTGTCGCGCTCGGGTAGAGTGCCTTAGCTTGCGCACCCTTGTTTTGAGTTATAATCACTTTCCTTATTGCAGCTCTAGCCCTTGCTCTGTCTCGCCTCCCCTACAAAGAATTATATAGTCACTGGGTAGGTGCCTCCTGCTCAGTGTGTTTCTTGAACAAGGTACAAGTCCGCCATTCATGTCGCAGTGGTGCATAATGTTGGACCTGCAGCATCCCCCTTTGGTTACCATTTGCCTTCCACTTTATGTCTGTGTTATGAACTGGCTGCCTTTGTACTGTACTTTAGTTACGATAGCCTTTGGATGTCTAGGTGTCATGCTAGTCTTCCTGCACTTCCCCAACATGTCCACGTTGCAGTTGTACAGGTTCATTCACAGGATTTGCCCCCTTTCCCTGCATTCATTTGTTCCTCAAGGTTGTTTCCTTAGCATGTTCCCACAAATTTCATTAGCACAGCTCTAGGTTTCCGTCTACTTCCCGCCTTCCATGAGATTAGACGCTATATGTTCATGTATGTGTGACCTGGGTTGACCTCTTTCTCCTTGGGTTCCCATAGTGGTTACTTGACTGGCGCAAGTTGTACATTGGGACTTCAGTTGCTTGTGATTCTTAGTTATGGTCAACTGTATAGTTAGGTTGCTTAAGGCAGGTTTTCTATTACCTTCGTGAGTCTTGTATCTTCGTGATTCAGTTGTACAGGTTCGTTCACAGTATTTGCCCCTTTCCCTGCATTCATTTGTTCCTCAAGGTTGTTTCCTTAGCATGTTCCCACAAATTTCATTAGCACAGCTCTAGGTTTCCGTCTACTTCCCGCCTTCCATGAGATTAGACGCTATATGTTCATGTATGTGTGACCTGGGTTGACCTCTTTCTCCTTGGGTCCCATAGTGGTTACTTGACTGGCGCAAGTTGTACATTGGGACTTAAGTAACTTGTGATTCTTAGTTATTACCTTCGTGAGTCTTGGTTGTCATCGTCCCATTTCATGCCATACATTCCATAAAACACGTGCATAGGCAAGATGTACATGTAGCACAGGTAGTTTTGGGTTCCTTGTGATCAGTATTGGAATCAACAGTGCCCACACAACAGCACAGTCTATAAAAGGTACATTGGAAAGGCCCAAGCCTTCCTACTGGTTTATTTTTGGACAGCCATTCAGTATAACTACTCGGCTTACTTTATACAGTGTTAAGGGGGTGACAATATCAAAGTTAGTGCCCTCTTAAGATGACGACCACACACATTTTCATAACAGCCTGGGTGCCATCTCAGTTGGCCTCCTTGCCTTTCCAGTATTTTGTGAGTTTGTATTTTAGGCGTAGTGGTCTTTGCCCTTCTACAACTATGGCTTTAGCTTGTTCCTTTTGATAACAAGTTCTGCCAGACCACGTTACTTGAGGCCTTCCACCTCTAGACCGCAGACAGGATGGACCTTTGTCATTTTGGTATTGTTTCTCCCTTCAAGCCAACCACTGGTCAGAGGAAGACTTCTCTGGTTGGGGCCTTACCACAGGGCAATTTCATTCTCAAAGAATGATCCCTTCATTTGTTGTTCAATCTCAGTTAGGGAAACTTGTGCCATTTGCTTGTTAGAGACAGAGGTTTTAGGGATGGCCCATAGTTTTATCCCTTCATTTTTTCTCAACCACAGTGAGGGGAATTCAATTAGGGGTACTTCCAGTTATTTGTGGGAAACAGTGTTCCACAGCTTGATCCATTCATTTTCGCTCAACCTTAGTTAGGGGAATTCATGCCTTCACCTCCCCCTTTCTGTTATAATGAATTCGTCAAGTTACTCATGAGAGAGAGAATTATCCAGAATGCTCGCTTTGCTTCATTTTGGCTGCAACAGCCTTTGTACCCTTGTCTCATAGGCCGACATGCATAATTTATTCATTCTCCAGTCAGGTTCCTCAACTGCTGAGACCTCCTGAACCAACCTTAGACTCTAATGGCTCATCTTGATAGAGCCTCCCTTCATTTGTGTGCTTGGACGCTGTCATAGTCTCCCTCAGAGTAACTGAACTTTGGGAAGTAGATTCCGCTCAACACCGGTGGAGCCCTTCAGACAAGCTTATGATAGCTGTCTTCTCCACTTTCCGAAGTAGTACAAGACGATGGCTATTGATCCCCATTCTTCAGCTTCACCCATCATCGGGGTTTTTCCCCTACAAACATTGAGGGGGATCAGGGCATCATTGTATCCCAAGTCTCACATTGATCCGACAGAGGCTCGTACCCTTCATCAACCAACCTTTAAAGCGGTATTCTTGATGGCTGCCCCAACAATCTCACGAGGAGGCCAATTCTGTGCCTAGTCCACAGAACCAGTCCACCTTTACCGGCAACCCAGAGGCATATGCCTCAGTAACATGGGGTTTCTCTCCACAGTTCATTTAACCGGTTTCTTTTCCTTAGAAATATGTACCTTCATCCCAAGGTTTACAGTGATTTCAACAATGGCGGGGATTTATGGTGGTGCCCCGTTCAAGAGCTTCCACACATTTCTTCGCTCGTTTGCAGACCCTGCGTGGTGACATCAAGCAGTTGTTCATCACGACCATCCAACTACGTCGACCGGCCTCTGTGACCACGATCGCTCAAATGAGATCGGAGCCAAGAACACATGTAAGCCCTCTCGATATTGAGGATCGAAATCAGGTGCCCAGGAGACAAGCAGCGCATCAACATCCTCTGCCCACCAGCTTGGAGTTTCTGTTTCAGGCATGATGAAAACAACCTGCAGGGAGAATTGAATTACCTTCAGTTCATGCTACCTGAAGGACGTGGTTCAAGCAGAGGGTGTCATCATCAGGAAAACCCTCAAGCAGGTTGGCCGATCATCAGCCTCTACACCCCAGAAAGCTACTATTTCTCACAACTATAGATAGGCAGCTTCCGGGTATGTCTAAACAACCTTTTTCATATTTGAATGGGCTCAGTTTAGACCTTTGTTACCCTGCCTGTCTCTACCCTCCCAAATTGCTACTTAACGGTACTACTCTGCAAATGTAGGTAAACAGAGGTGAGATGTTTTTTGTAATGGAATATCCAAAATCCAATGGGATTTTCCATTCTAGTAAGAAAACACTCACCTCTGTTTACCATCCCTCCCTATTCCAAAAAAAAACAAAATACCAGGACGAGTCTTAGTTCTTGGCAGCCTTTTATGGGGGACATGCAGTGGGCGCGGAGGGTGTGGCTTTGGCGACTCTTTCAGCAAGGTTTGACACGCATGCTCGCTGATGTGCAAATATAGGTAAACAGAGGTGTTTTCTTACTAGAATGGAAAATCCTGTTGGATTTTGGGAAACTTTTTATATTAGTTTCCGATTTCGGGTCCCCCGGTCCCGTGTATAAAGGCTATGTACTCGAAAATAGGTTGCCCGACAGGAAGTGGTTAATGTTGAATTAATTTCTGCATTTCATATGAGATCTGATTGGAGGAGTGTGCTTAAATGTAACCATGTTACTGTTTTTAAGAGTGACATCATGAAGACTAAGCTGGTTTAATGCGTAAAAATCAAATGTCCAAAAGTTGGCACTCAGATGGATTTATTTGCATCTTACTTCTGATAGACCAATCATGTATCGTAGTTCAGCAAGAACTGCAGAGAGGTTAGATCTTAAATCCACGTCCTGTGTTCCTATCAAGGTCAAATAATTGACATATTATTTGAAATGTTGAAAACTGGTATCTGTAGTGATCTTGTTGGAATTGACATCATTGACGGCAGTGCCCAAAAAACAAACTAAAGGTCCAGAGTGCCCTGAGAGACACCTGCACAAGCAGTCAGATAGAGACTGACTATACCTCACACGAAACACACAATCCAAAACAGAAAATTAGCTACTTAAGCAACAATACCATAGAAGGGGAATTCAAGAGCTGAAACAGCACACCCCATTAGTTCTCTCGCAGCCTAAATGATACAAAACTCCATTGACATAGTGGGAATGGCATTAAATACTTCCCAATCAAGCTGGGCTGGCTTATACCTTGTCTATTAGATCCGACTGGGATGCTGACACACCAAGACTGTGTATGCCATCTTTAATAGGTTGTTAATACCGGTACGCTGTTGCTGAGATTTGAAGCCACTACAATCCTACTTTGTAAATTTTGAGCAGGATCAAAATTTTGGCAGAACCTCCCTGTCCATGAAACTCTTACCACGTTGCTGTCAGTTCCAACCAAGTGCTTGTTATCTTATGGATTATCTCACTGGAAAGTCTGCCTGGGCCACAGGTACGGTTGTTTTTTATAAATGTTTAAAAGGGCAGAAAATATTGGATTTGCAGTAGTGAAAGTTAAAAGGTGACGTCACATGCAAAGGGTATGTAGCCCCCAAAAAATTGGTTTTAGAACTGCACCTGCCCGGCCACTACATGTATCTTTAATTTTAGCTCATGCAAAACCTTAAAAAATCCCATGAGGTAAAATAGGACATGCTGGGAGATAAGCTGGGAGAATTGACACATCGAGTGGATATAATCAGAATTAACTGATGAGAATTTGGCACGTGTTGTGCTAGCAATGGACCTGTCATGATAACATCCATGGAAATTTGATTATTGCTTTTGGTACAGTTATGCCCAGTCATAAATTTCAGGAAACTTTGCAGCGGGACTGGTTTGTTTAAAATTTCCTTCCTCCATGGATAAACGTACGTAAGTAGAGGTTGACATTTTAGACAAAGTAAAATTAAGTGGGTCTCCTACCTTACATGTATGAGGTTTGTAGCTTGTACATGTATGTGCATCCATACATGCTCTTATTTAGATTTGGCATTATCAAAGTACTGCAAACTATGATGTCATTCATTTGCTCTTCCAAGTCTACGTGTACATCATGTACTTATTGCAGAAATGTTTCTTTGGATGAATATTTAGCATTTTGACATTTTCTTCCTATCCTGACACTTTTTTCCTATCCCACCGGTAGGTGCTGTTCACATTTCAGCATCTAGCCTCACTCTACATCTCAAACCATCAACTCGATATCACTTGGGGATTGTGAAGTTACCTTGTGTCCTCGTTAGTTTGGTAAGTCTCTTCTTTTCTTGACTTTGAGGGGGGTCAGATTTAGATAATCACGGTGGAAAAGAATTCCATCTTAAGACACCACTAACGTGTTTCCTTGCAGTGACCTAAATATATTCACTGTCTGAAAACAAGAAGACGTCCTAAAAAGTCCACTTTAGTAGTGAAAATATTGAAATATTTACTCAGGAAAAAAAATTTTGTTTAGACCAGTCTCATAGGATTTGTGCACAGTTTGTCAGGGCATAGGCATTTTCTGAGACTAAACGTACACATACAGTAGGAAAAGGGGTTTCATCAATTGCAAGCATGTTTGTTTGTTTGGGTCAAAGATATACAGTATAAATCCGTAGACGGACAGCTCCTATTCAAAAGAGCGGCAGGGTACCGTTGTGGGGACGACACCCAACTATAAAATCCAAAAGCATAGGCATATTCACCCCTCGGCATAGGGAATTTATGCACAGTTGAAGAATGAAAATTATATGAAGCCATATTTTGGATTGTAAAGAAAATCCTCTATTTACTTTTAACTGGCCCATGCAGATTCAAAACAGAGCAAATGCAACATTTGAAAAGAAGAGATAGCAGTACCTAAGAGTAAAAAGGGAACGTATTTTTAAAGCACATGTATACAAATAAATTTGCACTGAACATGCAACCATGCATCGTTTCGCCCTCTGCTTGCCTAGGCTTTTTAAAATCACGGATATGCACGCAAGACTGGTGGTCTACATTGCACATGTATGCGTTTATATGCCTGTGGTTTGGGTCTCACCAAAGCATCATGAACGTGTGATCCATGTCCAACTGTCTATCAAATTTGATTCATCTGAATTTTGGGGATCGTTTGTTATTTAAGTTTTCGTCTGGTGTAGCAATATGTGTCTTACCTCAGTAGCATACAAACTTGGCGCACCATGCAACCATGCTGAATTAAGCTTGGCAAGTAACCTTTCACACGTATGGTACATGTACGTGCAAAGTTATTTCTCCACTGTTTCAGGTCCCTCCCATGCCTTCACTCTGCAATCATCCACCTCAAATTCGGAAAAATAGAAAAACCTCGCTGCCAAAATAACTGACACGAGTTCAATGTTGTTGTGAAGCCTGCACAGTAAAGTAAACTTTGGTAGTCCCAAGTTTGCAACTGGTACATAGGCAATGTATAGGATAGACCTGTGTATTCAGCTTGTGCCACACTGTGTAACTGGTAAGACGGTGGAAAGGGAAAGTGAATGTTTCTCTGACAGGGTTCACAGCAGTATCCCTTGAAAGCATGCGTTATTGATCTTGTTGCCGTTTCTGTCCATCTTCCTTGTTGTCTGTGTAAAGTCATTATGATATCTTGGTGGTGCCAGTAGAGTTTAAAAGTTTCAAGAGTTATGGGATAAGCATGTGCATGTGTTGTATTTCAAGATGAAAAAAATGGTACACTTTTTTTTTTTGGTACGGGGGAGTTTTACATGTACAGAAAAATCTCGATAAGTCGCAGGGAATGGACGAAAAGTTAGAGTTATCCGACGTTCGAATTATCGAAAGTTACATGCTTCAGTGCACATTCAACCTTACTGGCTTACGGCAGTTGGCCTGGAAGCTGAGTCGAACACGAAGTGGATTTTAGGCTATCCCTACTGTGCAAGATTTCCTCAAACATCATCATTAAACATGTTTTTATGTGGTACATTAATAAACAAACATGTACAGGTACCTGTGTCTACGTCTTGAGAATTCATTCATTTGCTTTGCTGTTACCGCATAACGTGCCCGCGGGCCAGTAAAGTCAGTCAGGGTTTCCGTGCTGGGTCACGTGATACATGTACAAAGCGCTTGAGGGCGCATCATTCGTGCCTGATTTAGGCTGCATCAGAATCTCTTGTCTAGAGCTAGGTCTTGGTATTCACCCCATTGGAAATGCATGGAAACGCGCAGACAGGTGGAAAATGTCCAAACGGAAAATTGTATATACAAAAAAAAAAGGGTTATGACAGTTTTTGCTCATGCTTTCATAAATATTTAAACTTGGTCAACTCTGTTCTATATTAAAGCCTTCTGGATGGACTCATTTATGAAGGAACAGTATCAAGCAAAAGGACCAAAAAGAGGTAAGTTTAGAATATCTTATGGAGCAATTTAGAAGTTGCACATTTTAATGAATACTTATACACAAAGGAGAGATTTTGATTTGAGATTTACCTTTTTATATGATTACTGCAGGTTGGAAAAAAACATCAGAGGCATTGGGAAGAGTTCAACTTCTTTCAAGACACAAAAATGGATGAAAATCGGGAATGAAAACATTGCCAGTTTCTCTTTTCTACTTGAATTAAAAGTGCTGCTTGTCACCATCAATGTTTAACTTGTTCCTAGCCTAACCTAACTCCCCTCCCACTAAAAATGTGCTAAAAATTAAAAATTTAACTCCCGCCCCCCCGTCCGCTAAAAATTTAACTCCCGCCCCCCCGTCCGCTAAAAATTTAACTCCCGCCCCCCGTCCGCTAAAAATT